CATGTTTTGTTTTAACTCATACATGTTTTGTTTTAACTCATACATGTGTTCTGAAATGTTTTTTTAGCTTTGCTTTTGTGTTGTTGTTTTTTTTGTTGTTGAGAGATTAAACTTGTGGATGGTCATGTAATTGCTTATCTTTGTGTCTGTTAGCAAAATAATAATCCCTCAGTTCTTCCACAGTATAACTCCTGCCCACTTGAATATTTCACACTAAACACATTTGGGTTTACTTCATTCCCAGTTCAGTTGTAGTCCAGAAAAACACTCATCTCCAAAACTACAAACGTTCATGGTTCAAATCCCTCAGTGATGGAGAACTTCAGTGCACCGCTTGTTTATTAATATCTGTTCCTTATCAGACGTATGTGTTTGTTTTTACGTAAGAAGATTTATTTCTTCGACTCTCAGAATCTTCGGATCTATTAATAATCTGCCGTCAGATTTGAACGTGAGGCCCGATGCTCCTGCTGGGAAGGAGAACACCCACTCCTCTTCGGAGCCTCAGCAGGAGGCAGAGCTCAGAAACTCGGGGAGAAAAGAGGATTTCACTCCTTTAAAAATGTATTTCCCCCAGAGTGAACCTCCTGATCAGAACAAATAAATCAAACTTTTCCTTTTTGTGTGTTCTTCTGCAGAAAAAGGGGAAGATGCACTACCAGATCGCTGTCATCATCAACTTCCTGGGTCACTGCATCTCTATGGTGGCACTGCTCGTAGCCTTCTTCCTCTTCCTGTGCCTGAGGTAAGTCGGACCAGTTCTGCCCCCCCTCACCCCAAATCCTGAAGCGTCCTGCGAGGTTCAGAGAATCCAAAGCCTTTTGGTCACGGGAGGAAACCCTCAGTAGCTTCATCCAGCAGATGTAAACACCTCAAATATAAAAGAATAAAGAAAACTGGGACACATTTCCCCACACGCAGGAATAATAGACCTGTCTCGTGAAGAGGCAGCCATCAAACCGGGCCTGAGTGGCGCTGGGAGGTGAAATGGGTTCCGCCAACAAGCTGAAATTAGCCACAAGCTAACGAGAGAAAAGGTCTTGGAGCCGCCAGCAGCCGAGGCTGTTATCGATCGCAGAAACGGCACCGGGGGAGTGGGAAAGGCATTAAAGGGCACACAGAAAGGCAATAAATAGAAGTTCTGTTGGACCGCGGTTCTGCTCGGGGTGTGTTTGTGTGGACAGGAGCTAAAAATGGCTCCGTTTGGAGACGAAGCCGACGTTTATTACTCACCTTCCTGACTTTGTAATGAAATCGAGAGGCTTTCAAGGGATGGCTGTCACTTGATGGTGTGGTGGAGCGAGGAGGAGGAAGAAGAGAAGGAGGAAGAGAAAGAGGTGGAAGAAGAAGAAGAGAAGGAGGGGGGTACATTTCATTTTAAACGGCAGGTTGATCATTGTTAGCCCACACCGTGTGACAGATTTCTGTGAAGTCCAGAAAAATCACCTGGTTTTATAACAACGCTGCAGATTTGTCCAGGGAAAAAAAACGTTTTTCTGAGAACAATGGATTCACGTTGAAGTGATCTGCATTTAGATCGCTCCTTCTCTCCATTTTCCTCTGAGCTGAACACTCGCCAGACAAATTACAGTCATGAGGCAACAGCTTGGAGTTTTGAAAGTCTGTCAGAAACCCAGAAAGTGTTCACCTTAAAGATGAGGCGAGGAGGTCAGTCCAGACTCCGAAGCTCAGCTCCACCCATCGAGGCTCTGAAAGTCATCGTTAGGCTTGAAAATATTTAAATTATTTCTTTAAACGTCATTTTCCAGGGTGGGATGAACATGTCACATAATTGATTTTTAATGGGATCTCCAACTACTTGCACATATTGGTCTTGATGTTATTTCTCTATTCTACTAAAAGTTGTTACTTGTGACGGGAAAACTCCTAATTACTTAAAATTTACATATTTATTACATTTTTCATCTGAAGACGTCACCATTATTTTACCGGTACAATTCATTCTGAGGCAATGATTTACATCGGTTAATTGAAACTAAAGCACAAGAAAAAAAGTCAAGGCTAAAAAGTTCCAATATGTGACAATAAAGTTATAGTTTGTATTGTCCATATGCACAAATTAATGGGTTGAAACAATCCAAAGGTGATTTAGCTCCGGAGCTAATGTGTATATTAGCTCTGTAGCTAATGTGATGCTCTGGAGGTAACATCATGTATATTAGCTCTGGAGCTAACGCTAATAGCTCTGGAGCTAACGCTAATAGCTCTGGAGCTAATGTGTACGTTAGCTTTATAGCTAACATCATGTATATATTAGCTCTGGAGCTAATGTGTACGTTAGCTTTATAGCTAACATCATGTATATATTAGCTTTGGAGCTAATGCTATTAGCTCTGGAGCTAATGTATATATTAGCTCTGGATGTTACATCATGCATCTATTAGCTCTGTAGCTAACGTCAACTATATTAGCTCTGGAGCTGACATCATATATTTTAGCACTGTAGCTAACGTGATGCTCTGGAGGTAACATCATGTATATTAGCTCTGGAGCTAACGCTAATAGCTCTGGAGCTAATGTGTATGTTAGCTTTATAGCTAACATCATGTGTATATTAGCTCTGGAGCTAACACAAAAACTGAGGCATTTCTACAGTCTCCTCTCAGTCAACATGCTCCAGTTCAAACTAAAAGGCTGAACATCAGATAATGTCCAAAATAACATTTAAGCTGAATAGAGCTCTCACCAGATCAATCTGTTTACATCATTGCAGAATGCATTGCAGCATAAATTAAATCTGTCAAAAAAAAAAAAAATATATATATATATATATTTTTTTTTTTTTTAAATAAACAGCCTAAGCTTACAGCATTTTATGGTCCTGTTTTAATAGCTGAACTAATTGTTTAACAGCCATCCATTATCTTTACCCGCTTATTCCACTTTGGGTCACGGGGGTCGCTGGTGCCCATGTCCAGCAATCACTGTGCGAGGGGTGGGGGACACCCTGGACGGGTCTCCAGTCCATCACAGGGACACAGAGACAAACGAGACAAACAACCATTCACTCTCTCACTCACACCTAGGGACAATTTAGAGTTACCAATCAGCCTAACATGCATGTTTTTGGTCTGTGGGAGGAAACCAGAGTACCCGGAGAAAACCCACACATGCACGGAGAGAACATGCAAACTCCACCCAGAAAGCAGGTGTAACATGCAACACCTTTTTCTAAACCTTGCGAAGTAGGCTTGTTGCTTGAACCGGACCAGACTCTGGTCTTTGAAGGGAACCACAGCGGGCTCACAGGGAACCTGCATCTGTGTTTTCTGGCGTTCTTCTGTTCGGTGCGTCTCTACAAACGTTCTCTCTGATGTCTGTGTCGAGTGTTTGGTTTTAAACTTTAAACTCGGAGCAGCCTGCAGGTGAATTCTTTAATATTAGGAGGAAGGATCTGAGAGAAAATGAACGCTGGCAGCTGTTTCCTACGAGCCGAGCTCTGGGATTGGATTCCTCTGGTCCTTCTGGGGATTTCACCTGTAGTGGGTTTGGTTTATTAAAAAACATCACATGCTGTGAGATTCAGCTGCTGGTTCTTTATTAAGCTTCACCTGCTTCACCTTTTCTGAAAGAAAGACTTTTTGTTCTGCTTTTTTGTTTTTTTTGGCATTTCTACCTTTCATCTGTGGTCGGGGCGTGGAGGTCCAGGAGATGAACCTAGACCTCCCTCTGCCCAGAGACGCTCTCCAGCTCCTCCTGGAGGACCCCAAGGAGTTCTCAGACCAGAGAGGATATATAGTCCTTCCAGAGAGTTCCCTGGAGGTGCCTGGAAAACCTCCAAAGGGAGGCGTCTTGATCAGAAGAACCTCCTCAGCTGACTCCTTTCTATGCAGAGGAGCAGCGGCTCTACTCTGACCTCCCCAGCTCATATGGGCCGCTCGGGTCTAGGATCTGGTTTTAAAGGCCCTGATCCAAACCTCATGACCACAGGTGAAGGTTTGAATGTAGACAAGGGCTTTGCCTTTTGGTTCAACTCGTTGTTCACCACGACTGACCAGAGCAGCACCCTTATTACTGAAGACAAGGCTCTAATCCATCACCAGAACTTTTCAAACTAATTAAAAAGAAAAAGTTACGCAGCTTTGTGAAAAAACAGACCAATGAAGACATGAATTGTTCCAACTCAAAGCACCTTATGGACGATTAACTATTCAGGTCGAATGATGAGGACCTGAGGAGACCAGTTGTTGGAGGTCTTGAAAGGAATGTTGTCCCATTCTGGTCTGATGGAAGATTCTATCTGTTCAACAGTCCTGGATCTTATTTGGTGATGGGTCTGGACTTCAGGTCCCGGACTCACGTCGACTCATCCACTCAAAGCCCTGCTGTTGTAATCGATGCAGGATGCTGTCTAATATCATTTTACTGAAATAAGCAAGGCCTTCCCTGAAAAGACTCTGGATGGAATTATTTGTTCTATACCCTTCAAGACACATTTCTCCATGGGTGGAACCGTTCTAGATGTGTAAGCTGCCCATTCTACAAGCTCTAATGCACCCTCATACCATCAGAGAGGCAGACTGTTTTCCTGTGCGCTGATGGTTGGCTGGCCAGAGGAGAGAAGACATGAGTTTGTAAAGAGACATTCAAGTTTGGATTCATACCACAGAACAGCTTTCCACTTTGGTCCAGAGGAGACGGCAGCAGTTCCGAGTGGCTCCTTTGTGTGATAGAGCTTTAAGCTGCATTTATTCACCCCTACATACAAAAAGTATGGCTGAGTTTTTAAAAAGTTGCTGGATTTCTTTATTTTGCTGCTGAAAACTACAGATTTAGTTTTTTGGTGAAAACTCTCAGCTGTTTTTGTTTAAAAATACATTTAATGACTTTATTAGAAATATTATCAGAACTGAGAACTTTAATAATTCAGTTCTGGGGCCTTCTCATGAACTCGATGTGCCCTGAGCGCTTAGTTTACACAGATTTCACTGCCGGGTGAACAGCATCTGGTGGAAATAACATCAGAGGAATTGGATCATTTAAATGGTGGCGCTGTCCCCCATTAGTAATCAGCACACGCCCCCCTCGTTAACTCAGAGACGGTATCGATCCGGCTGCTGGTGGAGGGTTTAACACCGGTGGCGGGGGCTGCCAGCTGACAGGTTCCTGATGATCCGGTGGCCCAGGCAGGGCCTTTCAATGGAGTGGTGGTATTGCATCGTAAGCTTTCAGCTGCGAGCTCATACATCACCCTGAGTCCCTGGTGAGGAGGTCCAGAGTGGAAATCCATTAACGTCAGTCCGGCTGGAGGATTCAGTGAGGAGGATGTTTACACGTGACAACTGCTACTTCAGTAAAAAAACACAGCAACAAGAGGCTGAGAGGCTCCACCGCTGGCTTTTTCTAAACAATAAAACATTAAAATGTTTACAGAAGATCAGTTTCTGAATCTGGGTCAGTTCATGATGAGAACTGAATCTTCTGTAGGAGAAGTGAAGATGCAGAGCAGCATGTTTTATTTTTATTTCCCCATGTTGTTTCTGTAAATATGTAAAAATGTATTGTTTCAAGTAGTTTTCTTTCTGGTCCAAAAGGAGAAAATCTTAAATATATTTAAAACTTTGACCCAGTTGATGATTTTTTGACAAAAATAACCCTGTGCTCATGAGGTCTGGATCCGGACTGAAACAAGGAGATCCTGGATCCAAACGGCTGTAGGGTCATTGGACTCAGCCTCAGAGACCAGGTGAGGAGCTCGGATCAGAGCCGCTGCTCTTCCTCATCGTAAGAAGTCATCTGAGGTGGTTGTGATCTCTGAGGTTAACTAGACACGTTGAAGAGCTCTTTGGAGGGATCATGCATCCTCTCTGGTCTGGGAACACATTGGGACTCCCAGGAAGAGCTGAAGACGGAGGTCTGGGTTCCCCTTGTGGACCTGATACCTCCACGACCTGAACACAGATGGACAAAAGAAAGAAAAAGATGGATGGATTATGGTTGGGTGGGTGGATGGATGGATGGATGGATGGATGGATGGATGGATGGATGGATGGATGGATGGATGGATGAATGATGGTTTGATGGATGGATGGATTATGGTTGGATGGATGGATGATGGATGGATGGATGATGGTTTGATGGATGGATGGATGGATGGATGATGGTTAGATATATGGTTGGATTGATGGATCATGATTGAATGGATGAATGAATGGTGGTTGGTTGGATGGTGGTTGGTTGGATGGATGATGGATAGTTGATGGTTGGGTGGAGGATGGTCAGATGGGTGATGGATGGATGGATGGATGTTGGATTAATGATGGTTGGATGGATGATAGTTGGTTGGATGAAGACTGGAGGCTCAAATTTGACAGAAAACAAGTCATTCACTAAAGTCCAGGCTGATGAGACCCAATGATTGCTGGTTCTGATGAGACCAAACTGGACCTTTTGGTTCTGGTTTCTGTCTGTAAACGAGGACGACTCAGACCTGAAACTTTCATCCTTTCCCAGCAGATAATTAACATTCAGATGATTAAGGATCCTTCTTTTCCTCCAATTAACTAATTAGCGTCTGGGTGAAACAGGAAGTGACGTCACAGCCTCATTAGAACAACCATCACAATAAAAGCCCTTGATGGCCCTTCAGGGACCAGAGCTTGTTTAAAGCACATGAAGCTTTTTGTTGCTGCAGAGGAAAACAGTCCACTTGAAGCTGGACCGTTATTTGTCAGAACTTCTTCAGAGGACGGTTCTGTTCAGTTTGGGTTATTTGTCCGATGGAACCGGTAAATCCTCAGGTTCACAGTCAGCACAACGCCAGCGCAAGTGACACCCGTTAATAATGCATGCATGCTGAAAAATAAATCATGTCACTCAGACGAAGGAGCGGCCGAAAAGGCCGTCAGCTGGTGATGACAGATGAGTCTGTCATGCTACTGATGACCGGCGCCGGTTGGTTCTGCCCGCTCAGCTTCCTGTTTCTATTTCGGACCGGCCGCTCGGAGACACTCAGGCAGATTTTTAATTGTGTCCCGGGGTCGCTTTGTTTACGCCGTTAAAACAACACGGGGCTCGGAGGATGACACGAGCAGACGTGAAAACAGCCGAACTGAAAGGTGGATTTTTGTGCCAAATGATGTCGGAGGCATCGAGGGGAACGAAGGGAAATTAAACTTTAATTAAACTTTAATTAACTTTAATTAAATTTTATTTAATGTTTGGGTGAGAACGCTGAATCTGTTTTTTCTGTTCCTACCATTTCTGCATACTTCACTGTATTTTAGCTATTCATACATCAAAACGTTCGGCTCATTCAGGAGATGGAGGATGTGACTTTTTAAAATTATTTAACTTTGTTTACAAATATTTTATCCACAGAAACACGCTGAGATTTATTCAGGTCCTTCAGTAAAACTTCTTTTGAAAACATGCTTTAGATTCTGGGCCTTATTTTAATATTTGTCTTTTATGCAGCTTTTAGCTAACATTTAGCTACTTTTGTCTATTTGCTATCATTTAACTACTTTTGGCCTTTAGCTAACATTTAGCTACTTTTGGCTATTAGCTATCATTTAACTATGTTTGGCCTTTAGCTATCATTTAGATACTTTTGGATTTTAGTAAGTCTTTTGCTACATTTAGCTATCATGCAGCTACTTTTGGATTTTAGTAAGTCTTTTGCTACGTTTAGCTATCATGCAGCTACTTTTGGATTTTAGTAAGTCTTTTGCTACGTTTAGTTATCATTTAGCTACTTTTGGCTATTAGCTATCATTTAACTATGTTTGGCCTTTAGCTATCATTTAGATACTTATGGATTTTAGTAAGTCTTTTGCTACATTTAGCTATCATGTAGCTACTTTTGGATTTTAGTAAGTCTTTTGCAACGTTTAGCTATCATTTAGCTACTTTTGGATTTTAGTAATTCTTTTGCTACGTTTAGTTATCATTTATCTACTTTGGCTTTTAGCTATCATTTAGCTGCTTTTGACTTTTAGTGAGTCTTTAGCTACTTTTAGCTTCAAACAACTTTCTGCTTCTTTTAGCTTTTAGCTAGCATTTAACTACTTTTAACTTTTAGCTAGCTTTTTGCTAGTGTTGCATTTAACTATCCTTTGCTGCTTGTAGCTGCCATTTTGTTTCTTTAACTTTTTGCTAACATTTTATACTTTTAGCTATCCTTTTGCTACTCTTAGCTATTAGCTAGCCTTTTGCTACTTTTAACTTTTAGCTGTAAATTTGTTATTTTTGCATTTAGCTAGCCTTTTGCTGTCTTATCTAGCTACTTACTGCTTTTATCAAGCCTTTTGCTTTATTTACTTTTTTTTGCAGTTTGCTTCTTTTAGCTGTTAGCTAGTGTTCTTTTTACTTTAGCTTTTAGCTCAGTTTCAGTTTCTTGAGCGCTCAGAGGACATATGATTCTTCGGTTTTGGCTCTAGCTGATGTCATCAGTGGTCAGGTTTAAAGGGTAAATACCCCGGACTTCTTCATCCAGAAGTTTTCCTCCATCTTTCTTCTGAGCGTTGAGTCTTTAGAGTGGGCGTGGTCACGTCTTCAGCTGAACTGTTTTTCCTGCAGGAGCATCCGGTGCCTCCGGAACATCATCCACTGGAACCTGATCGCCGCCTTCATCCTGAGGAACGCCACCTGGTTCATCGTCCAGCTCACCATGAGCCCCGAGGTCCACGAGAGCAACGTGGTGAGCATCAGCCGAGCTGGAGAACTTCGGCTGCGCACGTGTCTTACCTCAGACACCTTTTAGCTCGTGTTGACTCTCGAAACCTTAGACGTGAGTAATAATTGGTATTTTCATAAAGTTTTTTATAGTTGACGTCTGGTGTTTGTGTTTCGTAGGTCTGGTGTCGTCTCGTCATCGCGTCCTTCAACTATTTCCACTCCACCAACTTCTTCTGGATGTTCGGAGAAGGTTGTTACCTCCACACCGCCATCGTCCTCACCTACTCCACTGACAAACTCCGCAAGTGGATGTTCATCTGCATCGGCTGGTGTGGGTACACGTTCCCCGTTCCTCTGTCAGAGCTGGACTTTGTGGGTCAATCACCCCCACTAATTTTTGGTCAAATGTCCCTCAGGTGTCTCACATGGACACCAGGCTTTTTGTCTCCAACAACAAGGTTCTGGTAAAATTCTGCATGTTGCTTGATCACCAAGGACACTGGTGGACAGGGACAATGGTAGATAGGGACACTGATATACAGGGACATTGTGGACAAGGACACTGGTGGACAGGGACACTGGTGGACAGGCACAATGGTAGATGGGGACATTGATATACAGGGACATCGTGGACAAGGACACTGGTGGACAGGGACACTGATATACAGGGACATTGTGGACAGGGGCACAGATGAACAGATACACTAGTGGCCATTCACGGAAAGCTTCAGACTTGGTGGTTCCTCAACCTCTGGACGAATGTCCTCCACTGTGAGGGGACAGACGAGACTTTGGTCAGTCCAGTGAGTTCTGTCCTTTTTTTGCTGGCTACCAGAAACCAGCTACAGTCGATCACAATCACTAACAGGTCGTTAACGGGTCTTGGCTTCGTCAGAACCTCCAGCTCCAAAAGATTCAGATGAAATTGTATCTTAGATTGACCTCGTGTGGATTAAAGAAAATCCACAATAAATCCACATTCAGCTCCTGAAGCCTCAGATTAACAACAGGCTCCTGATGTGTGGACCTGAAGCTAACGTCAGATTAACAACAAGCTTCTGATGTGTGGACCTGAAGCTAACGTCAGATTAACAACAAGCTCCTGATGGTGGACTTGAAGTCAAGTCAAGTCACATTTATTTATATGGCACATTTAAAACAGTAACTGTTATCAAAGTGCTTACCAAAAAAGATCACAGCATCAAATATTAATAACAACATATTACAACAACATGAATAAAAACATAAAAACAATTAAACATTACAAAAACAGAAAAAACAGACAGTGCAGACAGAGGTGGAGGGCAGGCCATGCACAGCGGTGCCATCTTCCTTCAGATTAACAACAGGCTCCTGATGGTGGACTTGAAGCTGGCCTCAGATTAACAACAGGCTCCTGATGG